CTTCGTAGTAGACGTGCTTCCGAGTCGCGAACCCGTTCAGTTTCCCTGAATTGCGGGACAGTCCTTCTTGACCGGTGCGACATAGTGTTCTGGGCTTGCTCATCTGTTCTCAACTCCAGATTTTGCCTTCGTAGTGCACGTGCTTCCGAGTCGCGAACGCGTTTATTTTCCCTTAATTGTGGAACAGTCCTTCTTAACCGGTGCGCCATGGTGTCCTGGGTTTGTTCGTCCCTTCTCAACTCCGGATTTCGTCTGCGTAGTACACGTGCTTCCGAGTCGAGAACCCGTTCAGTTTCCCTTAATTCCGGAACAGTCCTTCTTGATCGGTGCGCCATGGTGTTCTGGTTTCGTTCCATGACTCTACGCATTGGTAGACGCCTTCTTACTCTGTGCAATGCTGCATCATTTTTCCTTTCTATTTGACGAAACAGGGTATTTGAAGACCGAAGGTTAGCCATAAGACTGGCGCTTATTGTCCTATTTTGCGATAAATTTCGTTCATAGTGCTGGCGGCTCCGAATGACAGCTTCACGACGTCGTTATTCTTGTGAACGCGCAGATACTCGTGGCATTTTTTTTAAATACTTGTAGTAAATATATTTAAATTTCGAATTTAATGAATATTTTTTTTAATATTTAATTTTAGAGATCAACCAGATATCGCTTTGAAGTCTAAATTTAAACTGAATACTTATATTTTAGTAATTCAAAATAACCATTCTGTGTTTTCTCATAAATAAATTTCTGAAACAACCTCTTAAAGAGGTAGGTAGAGAAAATGGGGGCCGCCGTTTAGCAAAATACGAGTAGCTTTGTCTGGTGTGAAAGGAAAGCATCTATAGCTACTAGTTGCGGAGGTTACCTAAATGAATCACCGTCATAATGGACGATACGTCCTTAACAACTGTTAGATAAAGTGTGTTATTGAGAGTATGGAAATGTCTCCCCTGATCTATTGTCTTGAACAATGGTTGTCAACCTTTTTTCTCGCGTACCACATATGTGTGCACATATGTATGAACAAAGTGAGCCAAACAGGTAGCAGTGCATGTACCAGCTGTAATTACTATTCTTTCCTTACAGATTTTGGAAATAACAAAGACCTATTCCGCCTTCGGTCTGCGGACAAACAGTTGTTTGTAATTCAATGAGTTTTCAAAAAAAAAAAGAACCGAGTTAAATGACAAAGTGTTTAAGAATTTTGTTCCGTTTTTTGAGAAATGTTATTGTTTTGAATTTAAACATTCTAAGCTACTTCTTCGTAACAGGGAATCACACATGTGTGCGTTCCGCAGTCTCAGTACCTGGCCTCTAGATTGGTAGGGACTGCTAAACTTTTCATAAAATTCCAAATTTCCCTTTACTTCTGTATACGCGAAAAGAAATACTTTTAGCACATTTATCGGACTCTAAATAATAAAAGAAATCAATGAAGCTGTAACTGTCTGTCCGTCCGTCAGCCCGTTCGTCTTTGCACACTATAAATATAGTAATAATTGAGATATCTTAACGAAATTGGTACGTGTATTTCTTTTGAGCTAAGGACAGGTAGTATTGAAAATGAGCAAAATTAGACAATAACCACGCTTACATCCCATGTAATGGTAGTTTGAAAAAATACATAAACCGCGTAGGCCCGGCCACTTATGGTTACATGTGCATATTTCGGTAACCGCTCCACTAATTTCTATAAAATTTGCCAAAGATGTTGGTCTTAGTAAAACATTTTCAATAATTATTTAGCAAGAAATACGTTTAGAAAAAATGTTGGAAAATGTGCGCGATACCGCCCACTTGTGACCTCATATGTGTATCTAGGTGACTGTTCAATCCATTTGTATCAAACTCGGTATAATTAATGTACTTGACACAAAAAAGAAAGACGTTGAAAATGCTTGAAATCGGACAAAAAATTACGCCCACTTTTTGTATAAAACGGTATATTTCAGAAGTATGGAAACTACGATATTTCGAAATCTAAATACGCTTATTAACTCAAAATTAATTCTAACAATAATCTCTCAAAAAGAAATAAGATTATTATGGAATTTGGAAAATGGTCGTGGTGCCACCCACTTATGACTGTATACATAAGTATATTTCATTATACTATAGATGTTGTTTGAAGGAAGGGTAAAACCATAACGGTGGTTTTCGGTATTTAATGTTCGACTTCGCCCGAGCCTAGACTTCTTGAATTGATTGTCATAATTTAGACAAGGTACAAAATAATAGGTCCTTAACCATCTTAAATGGAGGAGTTAAGTAAAAAAACTTATACCTGTAGCTCACAATATTTCACTGTTTTAGCCGTCTAAATGAAGGGGTTTTTAAGAAAAAACTCAAATCCGAACAATTATAGCTATGGGTTACATACCTCATGGAGCCCCGAATTGGCTGATTTCCTCAGTGGACTTTATATGGTTGATAAGTAAATAGCTCAGAAGATGTTCCGGTTTTTGCTGTTAAAATGAAGGAGTTTTTGTAATTTTCATTTATCTTTTTAATTATTGAAAATAGTGCGAAATTTCATGTTCTTATCTGCATAAATTGAGGAGTTTTAACAAACAATTTCATATCTGAACAATGAGTTGTATGGGAGCTGTATGTTATAGTGACCCGATCTTTGTCATTTTCCCTGTAAGTGTTCTGTTTATAATGAGTAGTAATAGTACTAAATGTCATGTTCCTAACTGCATAAATGGAGGAGTTATAACGAAAAATCCCATATCTGAACAATCAGTTGTATGGAGGATATAGGTTATAGCAACCCGATCTTCGCCTTTTTACTGTAAGTAATATCTTGATAATGAGTGACAACAGTGCAAAATTTCACGTTCCTAGCTACATAAATAGAGGAGTTATAACGAAAAATCTTATATCTGAACAATCAGTTGTATGGGAGATATAGGTTATAGTGACCCTATCTTTGTTATTTTCAGTGCAAGTCTTTTGATGATAATGGGTGGAAGTATTGCAAAATTTCATGTTTCTAGCTGCATAAATGGAGGAGTTATAACGAAAAATACCATATCTGAACAATCAGTTGTATGGAGGATATAGGTTATAGCGATCCGATCTTCGCCATTTTTACTGTAAGTAATATCTCGATAATTAGTGACAGCAGTGCAAAATTTCAAGTTCCTAGCTATATAAATAGAGGAGTTATAACGAAAAATCGTATATCTGAACAATCAGTTGTATGGGAGATTTAGGTTATAGTGACCCGATCTTTGTAATTTTCAGTGTAAGTCTTTTGATGATAATGGGTGGAAGTATTGCAAAATTTCATGTTCCTAGCTGCATAAATGGAGAAGTTATAATGAAAAATCCCATATCTGAACAATCAGTTGTATGGGAGCTGTATGTTATAGTGGTTCCGGTTCCGACAAATGATTAATAAGTTATAAAAGTGCACCCACCTACCAAATTTCATCCGGATATCGCGAAAACTGAGAGACTAAATTCCATATAAACAGACGGACAGACAGACAGACGGACATGGCTAAATCGACTCAGCTCGACGTTGTGATCATTTAAGTATACATTTTAATGTGTCTATCTCTTCTTATTCTGGTACTTACAATCATCGGACCAAAGTTATAATACCATTTCATGCTCATGAAAGGTATAAAAATTTGAATAATTTTATAAAAAATTTTTGTAGTGAATTTTTGAATTCGTTTTTTTCCAAAATGCGCAAGGTTATTTTTCCAAATCTTTTTTTGTTATAACCGCAAGTCTCTATATATAGGTAAACTTAAAAGATTTGCACAAGAACGTTGCGCATTTTTGAGAAAAATATGCTTCAACGTGAACTGATTAATTTTTGTCAGGCACATTTTGTCTTTATTTTATCAAAAATATGTTCCAAGTGAGAGTGTTTTAAGAAAAATTCAAACTAAATGGAAGAGAATGGTATATACCGTATGTATTTATTCTTTATTTCAATACTGTCAACTTTTAATCCAGACGAAACCCTTTTATCCATTAAAAATCGGGGTTTGTGTGAAATATTATTTAAAAGCCCTTCTAAATTACTACAATGCAATTTCCGAGATGTGGAAGAGTATATTTCAGCTTCGGAAAGAATGAAGTTGCAAATATGTTTGCGCAATTTCAAGAGCTACATTACCTTAAA